TGAAAAGGACAGTCTTACCCATAACATCAGACTGGATGGGGCTCTGAGGAACCTGATGTAGTTGTGATGTCCCTGCTCACTGCATGGGAGTTGGACCTTTAAAGGTCACTTCTAACCCAAATAATTCTATGATTCTTTGATTCTACATCCTGGGAAAAGCCTTAGGCCTACATTGTGTCCTAAAGCATGCCTGGAACAACAGGAGCCCAAACCATGTTATATAATAACCAAACCAGCCCAGAAGGGGCTGACAATGAAATGGTATGTGGGACAGTGCTTGAATTTATGTCCTGACATCTAATTTGCTCTTGAAGTTAGCTACTGAGTTGAGGAACTGCATAGAGACAGGAGATTGGCAAGATGGCAAGGATACATTCAGTCTTGTGTCCTGGCAGCACTCTTAAAGCAGAATCTCTGCTTTAAGCAAAGCTGTTTACAGAGGTCAGTCACTATGTCTGATTTTTTGAGCCACCCTGAAGCTTGAGGGTGTACTTTGCAGTTCTGATTTCCATCTTTGTACTTAGCTTTGAAAAATTCAGTGTCCTTTAAAGAAGCTTCATGCAGTGTAGAGGTTTTGCATGTACTATACCTACTATTTTGGCAACTAGAGAAGTATAGAAATTTTAAATTATGTTTCTATCTAATACCATATATAGATTAGTACACCCCCTTTCCAGGATCCCAGGATAGAAAATATTATTTGGATCTAATTATTAATGCTTCCAGGATTTATCTTGAGCTCAAATCTGTCCATTGTGTGGTAGACAGACTTTTAGAATCCAGATTATTTATTTCAGACTTCAGCGTTTACAAATTTATATTCTACTACTCTCAAATTGTAGGTATTATGTTTAACAGTCTATAACCTAATATTCTGTCTTGGAGGCAGATGGCTTTTTGAAGCTTCAATCTTGGTGCTTTTTTTTTCTCTTAAGTGAGAAAATCAGAAAGTTTCCCAGTATACCAATTTGCACCATAATAGCATTCCTTTTTTTTTTTTTTTCATTTAAAAAAAAAAAAAAGGTGTGGGGGAGGTTTGAATAAATGGGTTTGTGAGGAAGCTTAAGAGAGCCAGCAGTTGAAAACGGTTCTTTACTTTGTGGGACTATTTGTTTG